ATCGCCTGTCTATCGTGTGTAAACAGTTTATACGATACGTTGCCCAGTGCACGGTTATAATGGTTCTTTATTAATATTTGTTTTATATCAATAATTTGTAGAAGTGTTTCATATGCACGATCCTGTATGTATTTTATTGGAAATGCCATTTTCCAGACCGAAAATTGAGGACAAAAAATTTTTTAAATTGCGAAAGACCTGTACCTTCTCTCGATGTGGAAAAAAGGGGGAGGTCAAAAGGCAAAGTGTATGTTCGGAAGTTTCGGATTGAATGGTATTCGGAGTGTAAGTGATTGTGTGGATGTGTTTATTTAAAAAAACTTTTTTGTATGTCGTGTTTAATTGCGAGCGTAAAATCGGGCGTGTGGAATAAGGAGGGATTTAACAATCCCGCTTAACATCTGTATCTGTACCTATCATTAAGTCCACGAGCCGAACTAATATTTCTATTTTTTATAAAATCTAAATGAAAATCCTTCTTGCCAACGTCAGTTTTTCGGTAATATTGCAAATGCAACTAAAATTTCCAGATTCATTTAAAGCCGTTTGACCTTGAAAATTTGAAAATTTTCGCCTGCGGCGCTTTCTTTTAAATCAATCAATAAATATGCTTTATGCTTCTGCTACTGCTACATACATACTTTTTTGATTGTTTAATTATTTTCTCGATCTTTATTTGACTAAATTGAGTAGGTATATGAGATTTACAATTACAAGAATAAAACGAAAAATATATACAGGGTGTTTCAGAAAGACCACCTGTAAATAAAGGGGGTGATAGTATGACAAAAAATGAGAATTTTTTGTCTTATGAACTCTATGTCTATCTCCTCTTGTTTTCGAGATACAGAGAGACAAAATAAATATTTTTAAATAACATTTTTATGAAAATTTCCAAATGGTGCGAAATATTTTTATGAAATTTGGTAGTCCGAGGTTTTTAAGGGTGCCAGATACGCTAGTCTAATTATTTTTTGTATATTTCATAGAAGGCGCTAGTTGTACTACATTCTTATTACAATTTAAGTAATATTTTTTTAAGGTTAGGTTTTTTACCAGTCGGGCTCCAATTTCTATTGTACAATTTTATTTTCTAAAAATAATGTACTCTTGTTAGAACTTCCTATTGTGGACGATTTTCGAGAAAAAAGGCTTTTAATTAAACTCTTACAATATTACACTATAAAATAAGTGACTTTTCTCAAAGTAAGCTTGAGCTTTGAGAAGATGAGATAGACATATAGTTCATATGACAAAAAATTCTTATTTTCTGTCGTCCTCACCCCCTGTATTTACGGGAGGTCTTTCTGAAACACCCTGTATTGTATATTTATATGGAATTTTGCTTAATACATGAAAATATCTTATTAGAAATTATAAATACATGTGCACATTTTTTACGAAATTTGTTTCATAATTTTTTGTCGGACTGACGATTTGCTGATATATTTTTGTCGGACATTACAATTTTTGCTTATAAAAAACACTTTTCCATCGTGTGTTAGTTTTGTCCGACATGTGGTAATCGATTTATCATACCCCGTGAAAATTCCGATTTCCAGCTGTCGGATTGAAAAAACGCGGCTTGAAATTTGTCGGACAACAATACTTTTGGACTGAATTAATTATTTACAATTGATTTTACTAAAAATTACCTCGTATGTGGTAATTGATTTTCGAAACCGGGTTATTTTGGCATGTTTCGATCGGTAGACACGTCAGTGTCGGAGGAATTTCTGTCGGACAAATTTAAATCTGCGTTTGCAACAAAATTTCCAGTTACTTAAGATAAAGATAAAAGATGTGGTCTTGATTTTTCAAGACCCCGGGAAATTGCCATGTTTTTGGACTTTTCCGAGTGGAAAAGCGGAGGAATCGAGAAAAGTCGCAGAGGAAAAATGTGGTAGACTCGTCAAAACGAAGCTCCTCAGGAGTTATAAAGTATGTGGTAATCAACTTTCCAGGGGGGGCTGTACTGTGGACCATTAGTTTGAGGTATATTATAACAATAAGTGACAGTAATTTTTTGTTCAACCCCCGGCCAAGGGTGAAAAAAGATAAAACAAAGGAGTTTTTCAAGATAATTCAAAAGGGGCAAGGGCTAAAAAAAAGTTTCTTATAAAAGTTGTAAAGCATACAATTCTACATCAAAATTACATCTTCACTTTTTCTTGTACTATTAAAATTAACAGAATTAGGGAGGGTAGAAGTTAAGGGAAGATTTCAGAAATTTAAAAAAATCATAACGAGCAGAAAAACGAATGAATTTTGTAATTTTTTTTTCAATCTATTCTAAAAAATGTAAAGAGACACGTATTTTTCTAAATTTCCCAAAACAGTTTTTTCTAAATTTCTGGGGTTCTAATCAATATTTTGAAATGAAACAAAAGGGAAATTACTTATGATAAAAAACAAATATTTCGCAAGTGATTCCTTGTTTGGGGGTTGCTACCCTTATTTTTTATTTTAGAAAAACTATATTTTTATTTATAAAAAAAATCATATTTACTCAAAAAGAATTAAAAATATGATTTATTGTTTCGGGGTTTTCGTTAAAATCTTTGTTTTGGGGGGGGGGGGGGGGTTGAGCAACAAATTGGAAATTCTTATAACTTTCTTATTAAAAATTAAAAAATATATCTATTTCTCTGAAAAGAAAGGTTACATTTTTTAGAGTAGATCGAAAAAAAAAATACAAAATTCATTCATTTTTCTGCTTATGATTTTTTTAAATTTCTGAAATCTTCCCTTAATTTACAGCCTCCCTAACTCTGTTAATTTTAATAGTACAAGAAAAAGTCAAGAGGCCATTTTTATGTAGAATTGTATGCTTTACAACTTTTATACTCTTTTTTTTCAAGCCCTTGCCCGTTTTGAGTTATCTTGAAAAATCCCTGTTTTATCTTTTTTCACCCTTGGCCGGGGGTTGAACAAAAAATGACATACCTCAAACTAACTCATATGAAAAATTCAGGCAAGTTGACCAAAATTTCGATTTAAAGGCTTATTTAATTGGACTATGTTGTATGTCTGTATGTACGAAATTAAAAAAATATTTTTTCTTTTTTAATATGGACTCATTCAAGTCCTAAAATAAATTTAAATACGCGCTGTGACGTCACGAAGCGGAAGTTCAAATCCCGTGCCAAAGGTGTAACTAAATGTTTGTAGTAGGGTAGAGCTAAATTTATTCCTTCAAAGTATGAAATTCTTAATAATGAACTGAAGTTAATAAAAAATTTACTAGTAAACAATCAACACTCTGGAAATTATTTTTATTGGTCAATTTCTAAGAATATAAATATAAAACAAAAACTGTCAGACAACAAAGGGAAAATACATCCACAATAAAAATATTTAAATTCATTATTCGCCGACTTCCTATCATTTACATAGTAATCCTTGTTTTTTGATTTCAGCCAATCACGTGGGGAGATTTCAAAGCTAAGTCGAGTAAATATGGTGCAATTACGCCTTCCGCACGCATTATGTGGACTTATTATCTAATTCTGGTCAAATCCTATAGTATGAATCTATTGCTGACCTTCCTCTTGCACACGGTCCCTGCCTTTATAGCTGACGCTGTAATGCTCGCCAGAGGAAAGAAAATGAGGTAAAATAACATTTTATCAGTAAAAAAAACTATAAATTTTATATTTTCTAAATTTCTACATACATAATTTAATTTTAAACATGTTTGTACAGGGCTAGTCACTATAATCTGACAACTTATTGTGAGTTTATTATTGAAATTACCAAAGACATTTAAATAAAGGGGACTAGGCATGTCACAGTCTATTTCATATGTTGGGTGAAGCTAGGCAAGGGGAAAGCAGAGGGCTTTATTTTCATCCAACTGATGCGCGCGATTGCATCTCCAATGTCGTACGTTTTGGAAGGGTCAAAATAAAATATTTAATTATAAATTGTTGGGATCCCAGTAACTGTTACCATTTCTTTCTTGTTGCACCATCCTCAGGCATCCTAAAAACATTCACATTTCACTTTTAGAATACTGAGGCAAACTTTTAGTGAGACATAAAAATATATTCCCAAAGGAGGATCAATATGGTTGAGTGAATGCAACTTTCAGTTGATTGCATCTTCGGAATTTTTATGTATAATTGAACATACATTACATATTTTTGAAAAGGTTTTTGCCGTAGAGGAAATTGAAAATGATGAATGATTAAAACTTGTAATAATGGGTATAAGGTATTGAAATACCTATAAATCTATTAAATATAAATAATGTCTGTAACTTATTTGTGGTGTAGCATTTTCCTTTGATTCGGGCGATTTGTTGATTTTAATGACCAAACATGGTTCATATTATTGTTTTCTTACTATCTCAGCAAAAATTTAAAAAAAATACCAAGTCAGTTTTATAAAATTTTACCGTTATTCAAATAAAAGTTACCTATAAGCACGACAATGGCCAGAGTTGCATATACATTCCAAAGTAACCTTCAAGCACGCTTACCTGAGGAAGGATAGATGTGGATGTTTATAATCCAATTTCTTACAAATTCTGCACTGTCCATATTCACACCTTAAAAGATTATCCAAAATACATATATAAACACTAATCACGTTTCACTTACTAAAATCACAACTATTTTCCAACAAGAGACGCCATATTCTGCCAACCACGGCAGAACGAACGAGGAACACGCTACAAATTATTGCGTAGTTGCCAAGTCTTCAAACATGGCAAATATGAAAAATGAAAAATAGTTTAATATGTACAGAATTTAACAATATTGTATGCATAACTTAATGATACTATCCTATAATAATAATTTTCACAGTTGTGATGAAAATTGCGTTAAAAATATTAAGTACATTTCCAGTACAATTATACAGCTGACAACAATGATACAATTAGACTGTGAATAGACGAGGCATCATCCAGAAATGTAAATAAATAAGTCCCCTTTATTTAAATGTCCTTGGAAATTACAAAAATGCTTTTAATACAATAGTTTTAGGAATTTTTATAATACGTATTAGAAAAAACAATTAAGTAAACTACTTAACTAAATTAAAGACCCTGTCCGCGTGCCCCGTCCATAGCCACTGTGATCCGTCAGACATAAATTTCCCTCCAGTTTTTTCAAAAATAGTTTTAAACTGAAATATGTCGAAAAGTCCTGAATCAAACAGTAACATATTATATATTTTTGAAAAGAGAAAAATTTAACGCAGCTAAATATGCACTAATATATAGGGTGTTCCAATTAAAAAAATTCTTTAATTTAGTGACTTCAATTATTCAATTGTTTTTTCTATTATTGCATTATAAAAATTCATAAAAAAGTTGAACTTGAAAAAACTTTCTAATAAATTAACTCACAATAAGTTGTCAGATTATAGTGATTAACCCTGTACATACAATAAACTGCGTTTTTACTAGAGTGATGTCCGCCTGGTAATCCCGACTTCACTTACACGGATTTTTCAGTTTAATAAATACTCCTTTTCTTTACCTTAACAGCCTTCTTCGTCATTAAGTATAACAATTTTAGTTTCAGCTGTTACGCGATTTGTTCAGAAATAGGTATACCAGGTGATCCATTATAATTGTCCCTCCTCATCTAACTCCCTTATAATATTTAGAAAAAAAGCGTAATTACAAAAATTTAAGTATTTTTTATGTAATTTATCTTGGCATTATTGGAATTTTTATAAACTGTCACGTTTTTGACATATGAAAACAAGTAAGGTTTTTTATCAGACAATATTATCAGACAAAGTATATTCTGAACGTAGTAAGATAGTTTTAATCGAGAAGAAACAGTATAATGCTTTGTGATGACAATTAAAACCCTATAATAATACAGGGTGTCCCACGGTGACGAGACATTAGACATATTTCAGAGACTACTTCGATTTTAATTTTTTAAATCAATGATCTCTGATATTGACCTAGTTTAGCTGAGCTATACTACTGTCACTACCTGAAGTAGATAAAGACGCATTTAGGACAGTTAAAACAGGTAATATTAAAAATTCTGAATAAAATACTCTTATTTCTTATTCAGACACTTTAGAAAACAATCGGTGCTAGACATATTATAATTATTAATCCAAAAATAAACGAAACGAGAACAAACTGAAACCGTGAACAGTTTACATTTAAGCAGAATCCGATCATGTTTCGAACGCTTACGAAGGGCAACAAAGGTTAGCCACCGCTGTTCAGTTAAAGCGCCGTATTGCCTCGTTTGAAAGCCCGCTAATGCCAGGTGACCTCACACATGGTATGATATGGGGACGGTTAATGGAAGCGAAACAAACTGCCACGTTAATTCGGCGAAATACGCCAACAACCTTCTTATATAACTGTATAGCTTAATTAAGCTTGAACTTTTTCTTTCTTTCTTTCCTTGCAGGTTTCTTAACATTTACAAAAAAATACACGAATTTTCGAGACTACTGACCTTCTTTGTCATGAAATCTTTTGAGTTTAAGTCCGCCAACGTTCGAAAAATGTTAGAGAGAATGTCGGTCAAAGACAGAGAGGTGTTCTTCTGTGACCTTAAACAATTAGACTGGGAAGAATTTGTCATTACTTACGGGGCTGGAATTAGAGTTTATTTGGTTAAGGATCCTATGGATACGGTTGATAAGGCAAAAAGACTCTGGAGAAGGTAAATAAAACAGTTATTAAAAAATGTACATCTGCTGTACCATTATGATCTATTTTCAGGTACAGCTTAGCCAACAGAGTGATACTAACAGTTGCAGGACTCTTGGCAGCAACTATATTATGGTCTGTAATGTCTACCTTATACAGATCTTTCCTCTTTGTGAATTAATTCTCTATTTTTAGCCCGGTCAAAATAGACATTTCAAATAACGAAAATTCCGATAAAGCTAAATTTTGGTGGAGACCTTGGGTACACCATTAGAAATAAAGTGTCAAAAGCCCCCACCGATTCCATGTGTGCTAAAAAAGTTATTCGAGGTCAAAGGTCAAAATTTGAGGGTTTTTTTTCGAAAACGGTATGTTTTATCAAAAAAGTAGCCCTGACAAAAATTATAGATCTCAAAATTATCTACAAAAATGACCCTCATATATATATATCATATCGCGATTCTAATAGTTGATGGAGTCACGTTCTACATGATATGCACACATTTCCACACCACCTGTGAGATAGTGTACTTTGACGCGTTTTTTTAACGTGGTTTCCCCGATAGGGGACGGAATTTTCAGGGACAATACTCTTTTAACTGTATGATTATTGATATTGATATTGGTTATTGACTTTAACTGTAGTTCTGATTTCTTTTAATATTTTAATTTGATTCATACTCTTCAAAGTCGACTTCAACAGTCATGTCTTCTTCTATTTCTTCTTCTTCTTCCTCTTCTTCTTGCTGGATGTTCATAAATTGTTCAAATGAAGATGAATCAGCTGTCTCTTCATCGAAATCACATGAATCTTCGTCTGTTGTATTCAATTGGACATTTGAGCAAGACTGGCTTTGGCAATTAGTACACGCTGGAGAACACAGTAACCCTACTCTTCTACAGCCACATTTAGCACTACAACCTTTTTTGCAATTGCAAAAAATAGTGTTTAGGAGTTTTTCCGGAGCAGGTGGGAGTAAAGTTTGAATCGGTTCCAAAGTATTATCTGTTAATTTCCAACCCCAATCTTCTGAGTTCAGCTGATTACCTAGCCATGTCTGAACTTGATAGTATACTCAATACTAGTGTTGATTAGCAGAAGCCGATGTTGGAGGAAGACAAGATAGTTGTACTTGTTTCATGTATTTTTTACAGAAGTTAAATATCTATATTTATCTATACAATCAATTTTTTTTGGAGCTCCTTTACAGGAGAAAGCGAATTCCTTTTGTGATTATTGCTTGAAATGAAGAATCAATTTCTGCAATCAATCAAATCTTTTTTTTTGGGATAATTTTAATACTGCTGTTTTACCCCTTCTGTACATTGCTGATGTAGTATCGCAGCCGGTTATCGCATGTAAAAATAAGATATGGTTTTGGCATTTTAGATAAGCAGATAAACTTTTTGAAGAATATATTTCTGTTCGCTGTTGAGCCTTCCCAGGTTTAAAAAAATATATAATTTTATCAATTGGAGTCCTTGCAGTGAGTAGTATTAATAAGTCAACATCTTCACCAACTACAATAGTTCTATTTGTTGCATTAAATAGTTCTATTGCTGTTTCAATTATAAGGACATCTTTTGACTAAGGAACTGGGTTTCTTTTGAGTGTATATTCTCAGGATAGTATAGTTTACACATATAGGAGACACAAATATCATGTAGAAGGTGACTCCTTCAACTTTTAGAATCGCGATATCTCAGGAATGGTGTTTCTTAGAAAAAAAGTAGAAGAACCATTTTTTTAGATAATTTTCAGATCTATCTGAGCTACTTTTTTGATAAAACTTACCGTTTTCGAAAAAAAATCCAAAAAACCTCAAATTTTGACCTTTGACCCCGAATAACTTTTTTAGCACACATGGGATCGGTGGGGACTTTTGACACTTTATTTCTAATGGTGTACCCAAGATCTCCACCAAAATTTAGCTCTGTCGGAATTTTTGTTATTTGACCACTATTTTTATGACTAATTTGACAGGACTATTATGTATATTTTGAAAAGGAACTACAAATTTTGACTTAGAAAAGGTGTTGTTAAATATTTTTTTCCTCGTTAGCTGTGTTTGTTGGTAGAATAAATAAACCTTTTGAAATATTGCTGTTTAAGTTATGCCAATGTTTGTACCAAATATTTCCGTCATTGTCGAAAGCAATTTAGTTTATTCATTGTTTTTTTGGAATAATACAAAATACATCAGGACTTGCGTATAAATATACTAAGTCTTCATTAAAATTCAATATTTATTCGACAATAAATTGTGAATATTTATGTGTATGTGTATAGGGTGCCTGTAATCGATTTTTGAAAATAAATCAGTCTCATATCATTGGCAAAATGTTATTTGAGAATAGTACCCACGAACGACGACGTTAAAAATGTTCGTCTCTCCATAATTAACCCCAAAACCCTTGCAAACATAATTCCGAACTTTGTTTACTAATTAAAGTGTTTTGGTTAGCATTCTTGTAACGAATATGTTTTATTCATACGTAACACGTAATACTGATTCAATTGAAATTAAGCCACGGTAGAATTCATTGAACAAACGTTGCCCATTGCCTAATTTACTTCAACAGCAACAGCCATAAATTTTGGGCCACAATCATGGATATAGGTAAATCACAAATTTCAATATACGTGGAAAAAAGTTATAATAACCATCCAATTTTTTACAGCTTCTAGCATTATCGAGAAATTCCAGCACGTGGACGATACAATCGACATAGACGAATCAAATCTAACGCCAGTTCAAGAGTTTTATAAAGGCGCCAAGGTCTTTGTGACGGGTTTTACCGGGTTCTTAGGCCAAATCCTCGTTGAGAAACTCCTGAGGTCATGCCCCGTGTCCACCGTTTACGTCCTCATGAGAAAGAAAAAGGGGAAAGATATAGAGGTGAGGTTGCAGGAAATATTCGACAATCATCTCTTTAGCAGGATGAAGAAGAATTGTCCGGATTTTCGCGCGAAGGTTGTAGCTATAGAAGGTGACTGTGCATTGCCAGATCTAGGCCTCAGTGATCAAGACAAAAAATTGTTGATAGATGAGGTAAGTTTGTTTAAAGATTTTCTTCGCACGGAGAAAGTTATGTTAAAAATATTTTCAATGGTAGCACTTGATTTCGCATTAACAAAATTATTTCCTTTTAGACCAAGCCAGCTCAGTCGAAATACGTTCTTGGATGTAACAGGGGGCAAGCAAGCTAATTTTTGCTGGAATGCCTTCAGTACAACTCACATAATAAAAGTGTAGATCCCTAGATCTGGGCGAGGTCCGGAACAATTTCAAAATTGCAAAAATGTTTGAAAACTTAAAAAAATACCTATTTTTACTTATATCTTGGAACCTATGCATTTTGGAAGAATATTGAAAGGGGAAAAAGAGAAGGAGAAAAGAAAGAAATGTTTAAATTTATTGCCGATGTTGCTAAATAGCAATAATTGATGAAAAAAAGGAAAAAAATAAAGTCTTGGGTAATTTCTATAAAATATTTTAATTGCTCCGAGAACATTCTAATTTTGGTAAAAAAACCTTAAGAGTATAATAAAACAACACACCAAATTTCATTAAAATCGGTTCTATAGTTTCCGCAAAATAATTTTTTGAAAAATTTTTTCGAATTTTCAAAATCTTGCACGGCCTCAAATAAAGCATCTAGATACTTGAAAATTTTTTCACATAGAAAAGGCCGCTCAACCGTTCAAATGGTTTTCGAAAAATTGAAATCGGTTGATTAGGACGGCCACAGGAAATTTTTAAAGATATCACTTTTTTTTATTTTTAAACAATTAGATTACATTTATCAATTTGCAATTTAGTTTTCTTCAAAAATTATAATTTTAAACTCGGAAAGACGCTTCTTTAAAAAAAAAAAGTTAAATTCCGTTTATTGTTTCTGGAGATATAAGCGGACAAAGTTTATAGGCATTTACCGTTAATTTATAAACAATTTAGCAATAATCTTTGATCCAGTGGCTTTTTTTCCTAGTTCTAAGCTGAAATAAATTTTCATATCCATAAATTATCGACAACATAGATAACTCAGCAGAAAAACTGTCGCTCGCACACGCGAAAAGTGACTCAAAAAAACGAAAAGTGGGGGAGGGGGTTTCGCTCTGAGACTGAATTCAGGGTTCAAAAGGTGAAGGTACAAAAAAATTGCGTTATCTCGGTTTCTAATGGACCAATTTCGATCTCGCGAGCCAAGGAATTCGAATATCGTAATGCCAACTGTCTAATTTGCACATACATATTTTGTTATAGACAAAGTTTATTATTTATGCATTAAATATACTGTATATTGTACCCTATGCTATTACATTTTTTCAATGAAAAAATTTGTTCTCATATATATTTCAACACTGAATATGAATGTAAGGAATTATTACAATTATTTAAATAATTTTTGTTTAAATTAAAATTAATTAATTAATTAAAAAAAAATATTAGGAAATTAATTTTTTTGTTAAATACAGATAAAATTAAGAAAAATTATTACTTTAAAATTATATTTTTTGAAAAAAACTAAATTGTAAATTCATAAATGTAATCTAATTTTTCAAAAACCATTTGAAAGGTTGAGCCGTCTTTTCTATGAGAAAAATTTTAAAGTATCTAGATGCTTTATTTAAGACTGCAACATTATGAAAATTCGAAAAAATTTTTTCAACTTGTTTTCTAAAAAAATATTTTGCAAAAACTATTGAACCGATCTTAATGAAATTTGGTATGTTGTTTTATTATACTCTAAAGTTGTTTTTACCAAAATTAGAATGCCCTCGGAGCAAATAAAATATTTTAAAAAAATTATTCAAAAAAATTTGATTATTTTGCCTTTTTTCATCAATTATTGCTATTTTGCAACATCGGTAATAAATTTAAACATTTTTAACTTACAGTATATTGTGCAAAATTCAACTCTAAACCTTTTTTTCCTTTTCATTATTCTTCCAAAATGCATAGGTTCCAAGATATAAGTAAAAAACTCAGATAAAAAAGGTATTTTTTTAAATTTTTTAAACATTTTTGCAATTTTGAAAATGTTCCGGACCTCGCCCAGATCTAAGAACCTACACTTTCATTATGTGAGATGTACTGAAGGTAATTCAGAAAAAATTTGCTTGCCCCCTCTTCCATCCACTTCAAAACAGATCAGTTTATCAGTATTTAAGGTCATATTAGCATGTTACTTCTTTTGAATCGAAAAATAAATAGATCTGAGTATCACTATACAAATTACATGTATATCACACTAAGGTGACCTAAAGAAAACGAATATTTTTTTCGTGTCTCTTGTGAAAATATGTTAGTTTATTATGTTTTAAAAACACCCTTAAAAAATCAGCTCAAAAATTATTTTTTTAGAGGGCGCTCAAGAATTTTAAAAATTTCCAAAATCGTCATTTTTTTAAAAAAAAATTTCTCGTTATTTTGTCATTTTCTAGGTTGAAAAGAATCTCGATTCTGAAAATTTCAAATCGAAAATAATGAATTATTTTAACTTTCAAAGTAGTGTACCTAAAATGCTTTCGAGCGACCTCTAGAAATAAATATCAACGAATTAATAATTTTTTTTATTGAATTTGACGAACAAAAAAATAGAAATAAATCACGAGACACCTTAAAAATTTCTCGAGGCAAAATTTACTACCGCACTGTGAGTATCAAATATTTATAATTTTTTAATTTTTTAAAATTTAAGTGTCTCGTGATTTATTTCTATTCTTTTGTTCATCAAATTCAATAAAAAAAATATTAGTTCGTTGATATTTATTATTAGATGTCGTTCGAAAACATATGTACACTACTTTGAAAGTTGAAATAATTATGAGTGACCTTTAGAAATTAAAATATCTATTTGAAATTTTCAGAATCGAGATTTTTTTCAACCTAGAAAATTATAAAATAACGAGAAAAAGAATTTAAAAAAAATCAATTTTTGACGATTCTGGAAATTTTTAAAAATCTTGAGCGACCTCTAAAAAAATTTTATTTGAGCTGATTTTTTTGAGGGGGCTCTTAAAACATGATAAACTAACATATTTTCACGAGACACGAAAAAATATATTCGTTTTTTTTTGGGCCACCCTAATGTATATATACTAAATAAAAGTGGCCTAAGGATAGAACCTTGAGGTACACCAAATGAAACGACACCCCGAGATTACTCCCATTTATCAGTTTCTACAAATTGAATTCTATTATTGAGGTAACTATGCATAAGTTCAACTGCACTCTCCGAAAATCCAATAAAATGTAAAATAGACAGTTATGATTAATTTTATCAAATGCTTTGGAATAATTCAAAAGTACAAAAGCGTGCTTTTCCCCTCACCTGTAGCCCAAATAATGTCATCAACTATATTAAGTAGTACAACTATATCCAGGTGTAAATCCAGATGGCTATTGTGGAAGAATATTATATTTGTTTAAATGTTCACATATCCGACTATTCATAATTTTTTCTACAATTTTTGAAATGACTGTTAAAGGACGTAGGACTATATGATGTTACATTTTCTTTCTTTAACAGGGGAATTACATGTGTTACTTTGAAATTATCAGGAGACACACATATCTAACAAGCACGAATTTACAATGTTTTTATTTGAGGGTTGCTTTCGATGTACAGCAAGAATAAAACACTCTCTCAACGGTAATAATAAACTATTTTTATTGAAAACTAAGCTTGTGTTGAAAAAGTAATGTTGACGGTTTGATGGTTTGCTGGAGAGTGCCTTGTGGTTGAAGTCGGTCGTAGGTAGCTTGGTAGTCGGTGACAGAAGTCCCTGGTCCTGGCGCCACTCTGCAGGGGTCGGCTTCCGGGAACCCCGTGGTGCGTCCGGCGGCGTTCTTGACGTTGTCCTTAAGAATGGGTCACTTGTAACATGTGTACCCACATATTTAATTTCAAAAATTTTTATTAATGATTCAACTGTTAAAAAATAATTACATTAATTAATAAAAATCTGTATTATCAGGTGAACATCGTCTTTCATGTGGCGGCAACAGTTCGTTTCGATGAAAAACTGAAGACCGCCGTGGCTACCAACGTCAGGGCCACCAGAGACCTGCTGTTGTTGGTAAAACAAATGCCACACGTAAAATCGTACCTTCACGTGTCCACAGCTTACTCGAACTGCATCCATGATGTCATAGAGGAGAGGGTTTATCCACCAGCTATGGGATATAAAGACCTCATTGAGATATCGGAGTGTCTCGACAGCTTGCTCTTGGACAACATGCAGTCACAGTGAGCAAATGTAACAATACAGCGAACGGGATGTCTCAGTTTTAAGGTGGCAAGTTTAATGGGAATTAGAACGTGTTTAAAAAATTATAGCGGATTATACAGTAATGTTTCAAAGCCAGCGAACACACATGCGTTCTTGAAATATAGCTTCAACGTGTCATTATAGCCCGGTCAAAATAGACATTTCAAATAACGAAAATTCCGACAGAGCTAAAGTTTGGTGGAGAACTTGGGTACACCATTAGAAATAAAGTGTCAAAAGTCCCCATCAATCCCATGTGTGCTAAAGAAGTTATTCGGGGTCAAAGGTCAAAATTTGAGGTCTTTGGGATTTTTTTCGAAAACGGTATGTTTTATCAAAAAAGTAGCCCTGATAAAAATTATAGATCTCAAAATTATCTACAAAAATGGTCCTTATACTTTTTTTTAAGAATCACCATTCCTGAGATATCGCGATTTTAATAGTTGAAGGAGCCACTTTCTACATGATATGCACACATTTCCACACCACCTGTGAGGTAGTGTACTTTGACGCGTTTTTTTTTAATGTGGTTTCCCCGGTAGGCCTACTCCAGGAACAGTTATGACGGAATTTTCAGGGACAATACTTTTTTAACTGTATGATGATTATTGATATTGATATTGGTTATTGACTTTAACTGTAGTTCTGATTTCTTTTGATATTTTAATCTGATTCATACTCTTCAAAGTCGACTTCAACAGTTATCTCTTCTTCGATTTCTTCTTCTTCCTCCTTCCTCTTCTTCTTGCTGGATGTTCATAAATTGTTCAAATGAGAATGAATCAGCTGTCTCTTTATCGAAATCACATGAATCTTCGTCTGTTGCATTCAATTGGACATTTGAGCAAGACTGGCTTTGGCAATTAGTACACGCTGGAGAACACAGTAACCCTACTCTTCTACAGCCACATTTAGCACTACAACCTTTTTTGCAATTGCAAAAAATAGTGTTTAGGTGGGAGCAAAGTTTGAATCGGTTCCAAAGTATTACCTGTTAATTTCCAACCCTGTCTTCTGGGTTCAGTTGATTGCCTAGCCATGTCTGAACTTGATAGTATACTCGATACAAGTGTTGATTAGCAGAAGCCGATGTTGGAGGAAGACAAGATAGTTGTACTTGTTTCTTGTTTCGTGTATTTTTTACAAAAGTTTTTACAATAGAATAGCCAGATGCTATTCACATGCGGGTAGAGGGGATTGACTAAGGGACTGAGTTTCTTTTGAGTGTATATTCTCAGAATAGTATAGTTTATACACATAAGAGACACAAATAGGCATTTTTACTTATATTAAGTGCCTGACTATGTATATACGTGGCATATATGTGCATATCATGTAGAACGTGACTCCTTCAACTGTTAGAATCGCGATATCTCAGGAATGGCGATTCTTAGAAAAAAAGTATAAGGACCACGTTTGTAGATAATTTTAAGATCTACAATTTTTGTCAGAGCTACTTTTTTGATAAAACTTACCGTTTTCGAAAAAAATCCAAAAAACCTCAAATTTTGACCTTTGACCCCGAATAACTTTTTTAGCACACATTCGATCGATGGGGACTTTTGACACTTTATTTCTAATGGTGTACCCAAGGTCTCCAAAATTTAGCTCTGTCGGAATTTTCGTTATTTGACCATAATTTTTATGACTAATTTGACCGGACTATAGAATGTGTTTAAAAAATTATAGCGCATTATACAGTAAAGTTTTAAAGCCAGCAAACACACATGCGTTTTTGAAATATAGCTTCAACGTGTCATTAGTCAAAATTTGAAGCAGAAAACTCAACTTTCCCATAATAGAAAAAATACACAGGGTGATTTAGTCATAATGGAATTATTTTTAACACGCACCGCCTTTGGTTTTGGATTTGTCTCAATTCTGTGGTGTTTTATATTTACAATAACAAAGGTTAGACAAACACGTCAGTTAAACCTAATCTCCAAATTTAAAAATCTTAATCAAACGTTATTTTGAAAAGTAAAGTTTACTAAAAATTATCGTTTCACATTTACTAATATTAAACGTTTTCTGTAACATTTAAAACCTAAGCATCTTTAAGTTGATTGCATGTAAAACGACACGTTTTTCAAATGATATTTGGACACTGGGAACGTCTTTCTTACATATGAATGTTTAGTGGGAAGTATAGTTTATCTCCTATTTGTCACTTTAAAGCTTGGACGCCCTGTACAACAATCCTTATTTAATTTTACTTAAATTTTTAGCTTCTTGGGTAACTACCCCAACACATACGTGTATTCAAAGCAGGTAGCTGAAGATGTAGTCAAACAACTAACCAAAGATTTCCCCGCTGGTATCTTCAGACCTTCCATCGGTAAGAACTGGCAACTAATACAGGGTGTCTCACGGTGACGGCCCATTAGAATTCCGGTTATACCGGAAGTCACCATCAACATGCTTATTTTAAATGGAACACCCTATATATTATTGCAATTTTGGATTCTACGTGTTATTTTAGGTGGACTTTTATGAAGTTTCCCTATTCCTAAAGTTAACCGTTTTCCAGATATTTATTTTTTTTCAAAAAAATGGAGAGTAACAGTGACTAGCTTCAAACCATGTGTATTTTATAGTAAGAAAGATAAAGCAACTATATTTATATTGAGGACAGCTGGACCCCTAAGCTTCCCATTCATACTTTCAAAGTGGCTTAATTGCATACAGGGTGCTAGAAATTTAATGCCGAGTTCAGTTAACTTCAAACCTTCATAAGTCAGTTTTTTTAAATGGAACACCCTGCAAGTTTTTCTATATTCTGCAACACAATTTTATTCTTTTTCGAACGGTATCAGGGTTCCCTATACCTATCTCTTCTAGTTTTTAAGTTATCTACGATTTTTTGTGTAATCATATAATTTCTTGCGAGGATAGCTGTGGAATTTTTAGCAAAACTTCAAAACAAACAACTAAACTGTCAATTTGTTGTTAGTCTCTTGCAGTGACAGTTTAATTTAGTGTTTATACGAAATGGAAAACAATACATATTCAAATGCTCATATTTTAAATTTATTATTTATTCACGGACGTTGCAATAGGATTATAAGCAGAACATGTACAGTTTTTAATGAGACATGTCCAAATTTGCCACCAATGAGCAGAAAAAAGTTAAGAATTTGTGCAGAAAGAATTTTATCAAATTTGGTATCAATTAGACGGAGCTCCACCTCACTGTCACAATCAAATCGATCAACAGCTGACTGAAATGTTTGAAGATAGATGGATGATACGCCTAGGACCGTGGAATTGGGCAGTTTGGTGTCTCGACCTCACTCAATTAGATTTTTATGTTAGGGGAGTAATAAACCAAAAAGATTATTCTACACCCGTTACTTCAAAAGAGGATTTGATTGCTCGAATACGAAGAGCGTTTCATGAATTGCCTGTAGCTGAAATAGCAAAAGCGGTAACTGTGGTGTTATCTCTAGAATCCACATGTGTTTAGCTGTTAATGGGGGTCATACTGAACACTTATGACTTTGTTAAGTCATTTTTTTATCTTAGTGCATTATTATTATCAACATACATAATTAAAATTGTGTATTACTATGTATGAAGTTGATTTTTTAGAATTCTTCTTAACTTTATTCTGCTCATTGGTGGAAAATTGGGATATGTCTCATTAAAAACTGTAAATGTTCTGTTTAGAAAGTAGATCACTTAAAAACTAGAAGAGATAGGTATAGAGAACCCTGATACCGTTCGAAAGATAATAAAATTGTGTATCAGAATATAGAAAAACATACAGGGTGTATTTAAAAAAACCTACTTATGAAGGTTTGAAGTTAACTAAACTCGGCATTAAATTTCTAGCACCCTGTATGCAATTAAGCCACTTTGAAAGTATGAATGGGAAGCTTAGGGGTCTAGTTATCCCTCCTATAAATATTGTTGCTTTATCTTTCTTACTATAAAATACACATGGTTTGAAGCTATAGTCTGTTTAGAAATGAAAGAGAGTAATAAAAGCTTCTTATGTATGCAAATCGTAAATAAATGTAGTACTGGTGCTTATATTCAATATTTTTATATTATGTATTTTCCGTATAAACGAGGTGTACTTTTAAAAAAACTTTGTGTGACCGGGTTGTACTAAATTGTAGCAGGTAGCTAAAATTTAATCCCCGACAATCCGTCTTTGTCTATGCCGCTTCAATTTCTCGGTCCATTTCTCTTATAAGTAAACAATATAAAAACAGCATTTCAAAACATGAGGCTACTTTAAGCATCATAACCGGGTTAAGAGGGTTTTTAGTAATTCAAATAAAATTATTCAATATTATTATCAAAATATTTATTTAAATTTAATGAATAGACTTTTATTCCACACAAAAATATATGTATTTTGAAAATTCAAATTATGGTGAGTAAATGTAGTGTTGTATAAATGTACAATAAAGAAAATAAAAAAGTAGGTATATTAAAATTCATCCTCTGAATATTCTGATGAATTATCTTCGTCTCCTAGATTGATAACGATAGGTTCCACAGTAACGTCAATTAAATTATCGAGTTCCCACATTT